TAGAGTTCCCTCTTTGGCTAATTTAAAGTATGCATAATCTTGAAGACGGGTTAGGTAGGGAAAATATTAGCTCTCACTCTAGAGTTCCCTATTCTCCCTCCACCTGAAGGCTAACATTTCGTATCAAAACTTAAAACAATAAACCAAATTGGGGGTTTTAGTCTGTCACTCTAAAGTCCTTTAACTCTACACCATTCAAAGTTTATTTTCCTATTTATTTGTACTCAATCATATGAATTACATTCTCCTCCAAACAATCTCATGTTATTTTCACCATTAGTTTACTGAGACAATATCATCACTGATCTTACATGTTCCCACAATAAATATTAACATCTTAATTGGCCAAATCAAAAAGTAAATGAAGTATAATGTTTAAAATCATCGCTACTTATTTTAATATTAAAGATTAATACTTCACACAACTCCCATCCAACACTTAATCAATTATCATTTTAAAAAAAAGATAAAGAAAACTACTCAGAATTCATGGAGAAAACACAACCCCACTTAAGCTTAAAAGTAGAAATCATGTAAACAAACAAGAAATCTAAATAAAAACCAAATGTAGTCACAAAGATAAACACTTATCTCAAATCCTCTCCACCAAACTCTTGAGTTCCTTTGAATATCCTCTCTTCCTTTTTCTTACAGTGCTCTCTACTCACTACAATTTCTCTCCTTATTCTCTCTAGAAGTATCCTAATTAATCCAAGAGAGAGAGAGGCATCGACAGTGCCTAAAGGGGGGGCGACGACTCCTCTTCAATTCAATCCAAGTCATTCTTTTATAATTTTTCAAAAGGTGCTTTGGTGTCTCTTCAAAATGTGTCCACATTCAATGAATCTTCCAGGAGTTGCCTCCTTTCAAAAGCCAATTGAATGTATTTTTTTGTCCATTAACCATATGCCACTTTCACCAAGAGTTGCTTCAAGAACCCCTTAAAAATTTGTCCAAATTCATTGAATCAACAAGTAACTACCTCTGTCGCTTGGACGTGGCATTCTCGGTTTTCCAGGAGCGTAAGCGCCAGTTCTGGGCGCTTAGGCGCCACAATTCATTTGCACATTTTCTTTATTTTTGCTCCAAAATTTGATATTTTTTCACTAATTTCACCATTTTTCATCTATTTGATTGTACATGAAAGAAAAACATACAAATACTTTCCATTAATGCTAATATCCTCAAAAATGGGTATAAAAATGTGTACATAAATGTTATATATTTTAGGTGTATCAAACTTACAATCCAATGATAACATGTCTTGGGAAAGGCCCAAAACATGGAATTTTATTTTTTTTAAAGGTGTCAATCAAAGGAACCAATGATGAGTTTGAATTAAAAGATAAATGATGGATTTAACTAATGGGATTGATGGGAAACCCTAAGCTAAGGACAAAATAAGGTAATAAAGGATTTCTAGATGAACATTGAGACCCTAAACTCTATAAGGGGTTCTGTGTGTGAACTAACCTAAATTTCTATAAATAACGTCCCCAGTCAAGATGCCCACAACTTTTCATCGTCCTGGGAATGTTGATATCTGTCGACTATGACCAATCTCATAACCAATAATTCCACTTAAATGCTGGAACATGGAGGATTCATAATTTCGATCAGTCTGAAACACACCTTCATCAATAACCATGGGTTACTTCATTTTAAGGTATTTCATGGAGTCTCAGGGGGGTAGGTTGACTGTTTTGCATTTCCTAGTTCTTAACACTAACTAGGTACCTGAATTAGCCTAGGCTTTTATGCTCATAATAACACGTGGTAAGTGTGTGGCCCTTGGTTTAATATTCAAGTTAACTAGACTAAAGTCAATGTCAGATCTACACAGGTTCAATTCTCATTCTTTATCTTGATATATTTTATTTGAATTTCAATATTTGCATTGATTCCTATATCTTGTCAATCATGTTGAGAAATCAGAATTTTCTAAGTTTTTTGTTATGTTTTCATTTAAATTTTTATGTTTGACGTTTACCGAGAAAACTGAGAAGCTCTCATAATTATTTTTTATTTTATTATTTTTTTGAAATAAGAAATAGCATATGAGATAACATGAATTAATAGTTAAAAAGAAAAAAATAAGAAAACATGTGGAACATGAAACAACATATGAAATAACATGTATTTTTAGCCTTAGATTATACTTGGGTTACGGTTATGCTTGGGTAAGCTAAACTTTCCACTTAGGGCAACTCAAAATTGAGCTAAGGTATGATATGAGTTAGCTAATTTGGGCACGGGTTGGACCCATGCCGCCAAGGATTAAGCTAGGTTTGATTTAGATTGATCCAGATTAAGCTGAATTGACTCGGGCTGAATCAGGTTTGATTTGGGTTTGACCCGGGTTCGCAGCGGTTGAGTTTTGTTTGGCCCAAGTTAAGTTGGTTTGACCCTGGTTGGCTTATATTGAATTTGCGCTTGACCCGGTTTAATTGGGTTGACTCGGGTTAGCTTAGATTTGGTTTGGGTTTTACCCGAGTTAAGTTGGGTTGACCTGGGTTAGCTTAGGTTTGGTTTGGGTTTGACCTGAGTTAAGTTGGGTTGACCCAACTTGGCTTAGGTTTGGGTTGGGTAAGAGTTGGGTTAGGCTAGGTTTGGGTCAACCTGGGTTAGGTTAGGTTTGGGTTAGGCTAGACCTGAGTTAGGTTAGGTTTTTGGTCAGACCTGGGTTGAGTCAGACCTAGGTTAGGTTAGGTTTTGGGTTAGGTCTGGGCTAGGTCAGACTTGGTTTAAGTTAGGTTTGGATCAAGTCTGAGTTAGACTTAAGTTAGGTTAGGTTTGGGTCAGGTATGGGTTGAGTCAGACCTAAGTTGATTATGTTTGGATTTTGGGCTAGGTTTGGCTAGGTTTAGACTAAATGAGTTTGGGTTCAGGTCTACCCGAGCGAACCTAAACCCAAGCCTAATCCAAGGCTTTTGAGTTGAGTGACTTAGGTTTAAAACTATTAAATATAAAAATGCTTAATTTAAGAGAGGAAGGAAGGAGAATTTATCTAGAAAAGAGGAGGCTGATCAAAGGAAGAAGAAGCTCGCCAGAATCCCTTCTCTGTTCTCACTCCATACTTCTTCTTCTTCTGCTCAGATAGTGTGAACAGTGCCAACTCTAGTGTTAGAGACCCCCTTTTACAAGTGGGGAAGGCGATGGTAAAACCCCCCAGAGCCATCTGATAAGATGGCGAGTTGACACGATGATCAGTCCAACAATTAAAGAGTAGCAGATCGCCGCCGACAAAAGGCCGCAAAGATTCATTGCCTAATTCGTGGACGAAGGCTACTGATCGCTGACATGTGAAGTTGGTTTGCCTAGGCATGGTCACGCCCATGCTTGGTGTGACCAAACCGAGGTACTTTGGGGCATGGTCATGCTTGGTCATGCTCAGTCACGTTAGGTAGTCACGTTAGGTAAAAAAAAAAAGGCAGGTTCTCTTTTGACAAATCTTGCTGCGTCGGATCAATGGGAGATTTCCGTGCAAGTTTTATGTGACAAAAAATGAGGTCAACACTCATTCGTAAAATTCATTTAATCATTATTCAAAAGAGTATAAGATAAAATTTAAGAAATATATTCCTAATTATATTAGATTTTTATAATCTTTAACTTTCTTTGGTTTGGGTGATGGATTATGTGTTTCCCTTTATTTTTTGTACTTATATATATATTTTTTTGGTTCAACTATTTTTATTAATATTTTTTTTGTCCAATTGGTCTTGAAATATTCTTTGCTCTTGGTTGGATACTTTCTTGTATGTTATCTAATTATTTGTTTGTGGCTGCTATCCTTGGTTAAGCCTATTGGTCTTAGTATATTTAGTGCATATATTAATTTAATGTTTTATTCATTTTTGATTTCGTATGTCTGTTGAGTTTTGAGGTTTTCCAACCGCACGTTAAGATTCAATCCTTATTTCTAATATTTTTTAATTTTAGGCCTTTGAAAATATTCAGCAGGAAGCATGCCTGTTAAATCCCCCTGATAAAAATAATTCAGAAATGAACATGCGTACCCCACAATTTGTATATATTTACATATCTAATATCTAAAACTTGATATTATTAACATTTAGTTGTTATAAATTTTTGAATGAAAATGTGTATTTAAAAATATTAGAAAGAGTGATATTTTGATGTGGTGTTACAGAGTTGATTGTTATGCTAGTAAATAAGATAATTTAGGTCGTAAAAAAGGGTATGTTTGTGACCACTTTTTATTATTTATTTATTTATTTTGTTTTATGTTTTTGATTTTTAGGAACCTTATTTGGTATTGTTATGATTTATATATGTTTTAAAAATAAAAAGTATAGAACATTTTTTGCTAGACATTTTTTTATAGAGAAAAAACCTATATTATTTAAAATCTGATTGGTTCAACGTATGCTTCAGTATTAAGCTCTGTTACCCATGATTCTATTCAGCATAAAACATTAGCTGAGGGCGGTCGGGTGGCTGACGGTGTCCGGCTGCCAGTGCTAGCGGCGGTGAGCAGAGGCTGATGGCTTTGAACGACTGTGGGCAATGGTCGACTACAATCAGCAGGGGCGAGAGGTGGCAGGCGGGGGCGAGTTGCGGAGGGCGACGACTGGCTGGGGCTGGGGGCAGGAGGCAACGAGCAGGGTTGGCGGCTAGAGGAGGGGGATGGCAAGCGGACGGGTGACAGTGACGACGATGGGCAAGATAAAATTTGTTGTTTTAAAAACCGACAAAAATATATTTTTAAATAGGAGCATTCTAAAGAAAATAAAAATGAAAGAAAAAAAGATAAACAAATATTATTTTAATTTTACTTCCTTTTTTTTTTCAAATATTAAAAGAAATTAATTTTAAAGAGCTAAATAAATCTACAACAGTTGTATGATATATGTATGTAATTCCCCCAAAGGAATTTTATGGAGCAATGCCTGCTTTTATATTCCTTCAAAGGAATCCAATAATCTGGAGGTAAAACGGACGGTCAGATTTTTGCCGTTTTATTGGCGGTTTTGAATACGATCCGCGTTCGGAGGGTAATGTTTACTCCGCTGCCCTCGCGACTAAAAGCAAACCCTTCGCCCTTCTTCGCGTCGATCCTGCCTCTCCGTCAGGTAAGGGATTCTCTTGTCTCCTCTCTTCGATCCTCCCTCCTCTCCTCCCTCATGAAGTATTGATATGAGATGGTAAAAAGCTAGATCCACTTTGACTAGAATGATGAAAGCTGGTAAAGATGTAGATCTGATGGTTTCACGAAATATTTGAAGCATCGCGCATGATTCCTGTGTTGTTCATGGTTTTTCGGTTAGGGTTTGTGCTACTGGTAAAATTTTTTAGGGTTTCTTGGAAAAATATATGAACAAAATATCCCAATTCGAATCTTTTCATATATGCTAAAAGGAATTTTACCCTATGTTAACTGTAGAACAGATCTGGCATACAAAATTGTTCTTTGCGGTTCTTGCACTGATTCGTACGTACCTGGTAATTGGAAAATTACAGCCACTTGCCAAAGTTATATTGCTTATTTGTTGGAATCTATTTTGTTGTTGGAAAACAATTTAGCTGAGCATGTTAAATGTAGCTAGTTTTTTGGGAAATTACCAAAGTGTTATAAATGTAAATATCAAACTTTTATTTGTTAGTTATATATATTCATAAGAATTGTGTGGTATGTATGTAAATTTCTAGATAATTGCAGAAGTCATATTCTCGTTTCATTTCATGATTTTAAAGGGTGCTTGTGTGGAAAGCTTTGGATCTTGATTGTTATGCAAGACTAACAGGTATTGTGCTTATTTTGGCAACAATCTACCTACTTGTTAAATTTTTTTGATTCAGTGGATCATCTGCCGAATCAGAATTGGAATATGCATAAAAATTTAAACTGTTGGAGGAGCTAATAGTTAAAATAAAAGTTAGAGTACAATTAATATATTGAATAGCTCTTTTAAAAGCCAATAATGGTGATTATGTTATTTATGTTCATGTTGGTATAGTTTGTTTATAGTATAAGCAATGTTAGGATGATTTGTAGTAAAATATTATAGTGAACCGTTGAGGTATCTAGAATATTCAATATTTGAGTAGACGCTAGTGGAAGTTGTATACGATTGAGGTTTGACACCAATGGTAGTAGGCTCTGGCTTCTAGTTTTTCATCCCAACATTCAAATTACAAGTTTCATACTGAACAACATTTGAGAAATCATTGAAGTCACCAAAACCACATTGAAAATATTATGCAAATTTTGGAGTATTAGCTATATTACTTGGTTATGGCCAGTCGAGAGGATCTCATCTACATAAACTTAATATCTAAAGAGAGATACTATCTTGATGATAATACATGAAGGATGGATTGGCTTAGCTTGTTTTGAAGCGAAATTGTTGCGAGTAAAATTGGTAGCACAACTTTGTTTAGAAGATTATTTTAAATCATAAATAGGCTTTTCAAGAGATACATGATCTGGATGTTGTGGATCGTCAAAGCCCATAGATTGAGATATATACATAATATCTTTAAATTGACCATGTGGAAATGCACTGGAGACATCCAATTGAAGAATTGGCAGATGAAAGTGGTGGCAATATTAGTGGATAAAATGTAGCAGAATAATCCAAACCATATTTTTGTTTATATTCTTGTGCAAATAATCATGCTTTGTGTCTAAGAATCATGTCATTAGAATCATGTCATTAGGACTGAGAGATGTATAGTGCTCCAACTCCAATTTTACAAAAATTAGCTATCAAAATATTAGGATCGACAGTGTGGTTGACTGTGAAAGAAATTAGAGTGTTTTCAAGCATGTTAATAATTTATAAATTTTAAAATATTAATTTATATGTTTTATACATTTTTTTTATTATTTTTCATATTCATATGAAAAAGAGATATCGGCTTAATCAAAAGCGCTTCAATAATTTTATTTTCATCAAATAAAATCAAGTTTAAAGAGAAGATTTAATTTAATAGATGTTATTGATCTGAGTAGTTTGGATTCAATTGATAATAGTTGTGGTTGATTGGAGAAATAAATGATGTTGGTGAGCAACAATTTGGTGATGAAATCTTATTTGGAGACAAATCAAAAGGCTTCAAGAGAAGTTGATCAAATATAGTATGTAAAATTTAGTTCGACAAAAAAATGGGGGCATCATCTACAATAATGATTAAATTTACCTCGACATATATCCTCTTTTTCTTTGCTTTAAAAGGATAGGGGCGAGAAGCTGGAGCCTGACATGTTCTCTCGGTGGGCCAAGTGTGGAAGGTGGCTTGCTTCTTTTTTTTTTCAGTTTAGCTTGGCTTTTCAACTTGTTTCAAAGTGTTTTAAGTGTGCCAAAAAGAGGATGAAATTTATTCACACAAAGAAGAATAGGAAGAAAAAATAAAATTTGAAGATGAAGAAATTCTACCTAAAGGAGTGAAAAAGATGATTGAAACTACTGATTTACTTCAGCTTATTTTATGAAATTTGAGACTTTATTAGTTTATTTATGTTTTAAAATTTAGATTGAATTGATTTATAAGATTTTTCAACAATGTTTTTAATTTTTAATTATTGCAGTAAACTATTTAAAATTATTTGAAATTTTAATTTGCCGGTTCCCCTTAATATTTATGTTCAAGTTAAGCATTGTAACAATTTTTATTTTATTTTATATGAACTTTTTTAAAGTCATATTTTATGTTTGCCCATGAATATATTTATGCATGAATAGTTTTATACAACCTATTACCTTTTTTGTTTATTAAAAGTGTCGCTTCGCTCCGTGCTTTACGCTTTGACGCAAAAATAAAGCATTGTGCATCGCATTGCGCTTGATAACACTGATCGGTACAAGTTCACAAGTCCCTCGGGATCGAATCACTTCAAATTTCGTGGGCATGGCTTTCTTTCATAGTGTGTGTTTATTAGCTTTGGTGTAACATGTTGGGTAAGGATTTATTATAGAATGTAACATACAGATAGTGCCTTAAGGCTTTAAATGCCCTGTCTGAGCTCTTTTAACCATTGGATGAAATCATAAGTAAGGTTGAGAAGTAAGGTTGAGAAGTAACCATTGGATGAAATCATAAGTAAGGTTGAGAAGTATTCAAAAATGGTGAGCGCTAAGGAGATGGAAAAGCAGTAGTTGGAGAGTTAGGTAAGGAAGAATCTGTAGAATGAGATGTGTCAGGAGCATCCAAAGGAGATAGAGATGATTATAGTGCTGGCGGGAGTTCTCTATTTGGTGCTTGATGCAGGGTTGATGAGGAAATGGTTTGTGTATATGTGTTACTGGAGGAATATAGGTTATTTTAGTAGGGGATGTATTTTGTGCAATTGAATGATAAGCGAAGATATTTTAATGAAAATTTTCTTTTTGAGAGTTAATGACTATCCATGTGATATTTTAGCATTATAACCTTTGTAATTGGAAGCATAACCAGAAATATACAGGTAAGGGGCTTGTGTTGGAATTTATGAGTGGAATAAGAGGGCAACAAAGGATAACATAGATAGCTGAAAACATTAAGATGCTTATAAGTTTGAGGCTTGTTGTATAATAATTTGTATGGTGAACATATATCGAGTTTTAAGGATGGCAATTGCTTACTGAGATGAATGCTTGTTGGAGTATCAACCCAAGAATAAAGAGAAGTTTAGCATCAAGTATCATAGTGCAAGTGGTTTCATTAATATGTCGGTGCTTATGTTCAATAATGTCATTTTGCTCAGGAGTACAAGGCACAACCAAAATGATGAATAATGGCAATATTATATTAGAGTGTCTGAACTTTATTAGTATTGTACTTTTCTTGTCCATCAGAACATAGGATTTTTATGGACTGTTAAATTCACATTGAACAGAAGTTTCAATAATAAAATATTTGAGGTGGTTTAGATTTTTGTTGCATACGATGTGTCCACAAGAGCCTAGAGAAATAATCAACAAATAAAAGAAAATATTTATCTACTTGCATTGATTAAATTGGGGAGGGAGCCCACACATCATTATGTATAATTTGGATGAGAGGTTTGGGATGATATGATAGATCATTGTGATGCTAACACTTGAATATGGAGTGACTTGCCAAAAATTTGACATTCAACTTAGGTACAAGAGCTTTGTCCACCTCTTAGGGATTGTATATTTCTCCGGCTAGATTTGAAATTGGTGTTATATGAATGTCCTCAATGGGATGTTCTAAAAGATGAACGACCACGCTCTGGTCCTTTAGTCATTTTAAGTTTAAATTGGTGATTTAAATGAGAGGAACCAACATCCTGATGAGCGTTGCTGCTGCTAAATTAAACCTTTCATTGCATAGAATAGCATAGAAGCTATCCAAATTAATTGGTTGAAAATTTATTCGTATGAAAATTTTGAAAGCTTGGTGAGTTACTTGTGAACCACTAAGGGTGCAAAGGATTATGTCTGCGGCAGTTAGGAGAACTTGGAAGCAACAGTGGCCTCACATTTAACTTTTATATCAAATAACTTCTGCCTCATTTTTATCCATCATTGATATATTGTGTAATTCATTTTCTAATTAAATATAATTTGATCTACCAGTGAAGTGATGTTTCTTGTAATCGTTTGGCAAATTTTGGGACTAGAACCTAGCTTAAGCATACAAGATAGAAGAGTTGGAGAAATTGTGTATTATAAAGCTGCTGTTGCCAAATTTTTATCTATTAACATCCTGTGTTTTAATTTCTTTTAGGACAAGTATACCTAATTACTCAGGAGTTTACTTGGCTGGTTTTGGGATAGATCCATCTTGATAACAACCAAATCCATTTGTTGTGAATAACTTTACAATTTGTGATTTCCACAGATGGTAGTTGCCGGCTGTAAGCTGAGTGCTAAAAACTCAACATTCGCTGTTAGGAATTTAAGTTGGGTGGCAATGGATGCTTTGCTCATTTTGATCAATTCACTGACATAGGGAAAATCGGACATTGATGAAACGGAAGCATCCACTATTTTGTAGACAGAGAAGCAGCAACAATTGATACAAGCCATGTGGCACACAAGCTCTAATACCATGTAGAGATCGCCAAACCTATCGGGAAGTTAGCAACACAAACAAAGATATACAAAGAAGAGTAACTGGTTAACAAAGGAAGGAGAAGCTTAAGCACCTTTCTTATAAATATTTAACAAAACAGTAATTGTATATCATTCATGAAGACTATAGATCCTTCATGTAGACTTGATAGAAATTGACATTTAACATCGGGCTAAGAGCTGTTTCATCCTCCAAAGGATTGTATATTTACCTCTCTGTCAGGCTTGAAAGTGGTATAAATATTACTTACAGGATTGCGTTTTTTTTATAAAGATGCTGTAAGTATTATAAATATTTTATTTTTTTGAAAAAGTGGACTAACATATTTCTTATAAGCTGCCACATTTTAGCAAATTTGGTTTTCAAGGCAACTTCTCACTGCGTAAGTTTCTAAAAAGCGTTAGGATTGTAGTAACCAAATCGATGTAGGGCAGCTATCTAAAAAGAGAAGTAGTGAGAATGTTGTCCCAAATAAAGCCTTAATCAACTTATATATAAACTTCAAGCTTGATTTAATTTCCAGGATAAAACTATTTCAATGTGTTGTGCTTGTTTCTTTAGATCCTCATATTTCCTTCATGCTATTCCCTCTGCCAGGTTTGAAATTGGTATACATATTGCTTACAGGAAAGTAATTTTTTTTAAAGATGCTGTGGTTATTATAAATATATAATTTTTTTTTTTGAAAAAGTGGAATAACATTTTTCTTATAAGCTGCCATATTTTAGCAAATTTGTTTTTCGAGGAAACTTCTCACTACATAAGTTTCTAAAATGCATCAGGAATGTTGGAGCCAAATAGATGGTAGCAATCTAAAAAGAAAAGTAGTGAGAATGTTGTCTTAACTAAAGCCTTAATGAACTTCTATATAAACTTCAAGCGTGATTAAATTTCCTGGATAAAATTATTTCAATGTGTTGCGCTTGTTTCTTTAGGTCCTCATATTTCCTTCATGCTTGAATGTGGGCACTCTTTAAGCTTACAATATGCTTTCCATTTTTATTCTGACTAATGAAATCTTCTGTGATCAATGAATCCCCCCATCCTAGCGTTTCAAAATCTGGCTTAAAACTATGGCAAATTGAGCAAAATAAACCACCTTTTAGTATACTATATTTCAACTGACTCTTATATTCATTACCCTTGGAGAGGAGAACTTTGGTCATAACTTTTCTAATTTTTTTTGTCAAAAATTGTGCCGGCAAGATCGATGCGGTCCTTTTACAAATAGTCTAATATTTAAGAATATAATTCTTGATCAACTGAAAGATCATCCAAATTAATCTCAAATGCTTTTAAAATGCAGCAACTTAGACCATCCTGTGATGGTTAGTTTACTTGGGAATAGAGTTGGCAGTGAATTGCAAAATTAGAGGGGCAATGAAAAGTAATTAGTGTAATTGGTTTGATATATCAATCATGAAGTAAGAAAGGAAGAAGATGTCAATTAATTCATTTAAAAAAAGCGCTGTGGCTAAAAACTTTTCCTACCTTGTTGCATGTGTCACACAATAAATAGGATAATAATCAAGTAGTGTTCTTGTTTACTGGCCTCTATTTTTTATATCCTCTTTAATGTTTGTTGATGATCTGAAATGCCAATTTGATGCTGATACCTTCTATTTCTCATTTTTATATTAATTATCTTTTTTTAGGATTCCTTTTGGGTTTTATTTTAGTCCCATATGATTATATACTTACACTTATTGCATTAAATCTTGAAAGTTTAAAAAAGAAAAGAAAAACATAGTGGGACTTCGTAAGATTGACTCGATAAAAAAAAATGAAAAGGGTCTATGACTGAAGTAGGATGTGTGCAAGAGACCAGCTTCTCGGTTGAGTTCTTAGTGCTTTAAGGTTCTAGCTTTTAAATTGCAATGACTAATTTTTTTCTTGCAAACTAAAGAGTTAAATCATATTGTTTTTTTGAATGCTTATTGCTATATTGTTGTCATCCAATGTTTTTTTTTAAGCATGTTTAATGATTCTTCATTTTTTTTTTATTTTTTGGCAATTTAAAAATGATACTTCAGACTCGATATTCATTAGAAGAGAGATAGTCGTCAATATGATCAATTTCTCTCGTTCTTTTTGTGTTGCATGAGGCTGCAGGATGCTGTTATGATGACATACGAATATTACAATTATTTTGATATTTATTATACGGTTCTTGCAGGTGCATTTATTTTTCAGCGTTTGTAATGATGACTCAGAGCTAGATTTTATTTATGTGGCTTTCAAACTGAGGAGTTGATTTAATCAAAAGGACTTGGAGAAATGGCAGAGAGCATGGTATCAAGCTTTTGGGGGCCTGTGACTTCCACAACAGAGCTGTGTGAAGAAAACTATGCTCATTCCTCGTATATTGCAGAATTTTATAATACTATCTCCAACATTCCTTGTATTATTTTGGCACTCATCGGCCTTATAAATGCTTTAAGGCAACGATTTGAGAAAAGATTTAGCATTCTTCACATCTCAAATATGATACTTGCCATTGGGAACATAGTGTTCCATGCCACCTTACAGCATGTGTGAGTTCGCATCATCAATCAATTTTGTTCTTTGCTCAAATTTTTTTAATCATCCTGCCCCTTCCTCCAATTCAACCTGCAAATTATTAAGGGTAACCATTTGAATAGCTTCAATTAATGATCTAATGTTGCTAGTTTTATTCTGAATTTGGTGAATAGTGGTCTTTCTATTGCATGACATGTATTCATACTGTTACTGGATGTGTTCTAGATGGCATATTTTTTATGGTTCACTGTTGTTTGGTTTTAGTAGCATGTTTCCTAGATGTGCTGTGCTTGAATTATTTGTTGAGTGGGTTAGTTATGTATATAATAGGCTTAAACAAGCAATATTAGGATGCACCTAGCACCTCTCTGGATAAATTGAATTTGTGGATAGAAGTTGCACATCATAGCATGATAAACATGGCAATAACCTGTTAATCTTAAGGTGCAATTCTGAACTTCACATGTTAATTTTAAGGATTGTCTTATATTTTCCTTTCAAGCTCTTGCTATGACTCGTGTGTTTTTATAAATGTCAAAATATACCTATTTTTCTTCCATTTTTGGTCATAAAAGTTATTGAAATGGATTTCAGTGTTTTAATACCTTCAATGAGTACTAGGTTTTTGAAGAGTAAAATCATATGATTATAGCATGATAATCATGGCAATATTAGGATGGATTCAGCCTGTAAATTGATTTTATGGATAGTAATTGCACATCAAAGCATGATAAACCTAAGAACTTTCTGTTAATCTATGCGGGCAATATTTGGATGCATTTAGCACCTCTTACTGCATTCTTGGATAGCAGTTGCACATCAAAATATGATAAACATGGCAATGACAATTTTTATTTCTCTCTCATCTCCATCTGACAATTTTTATCTTCTGTTAGGATTCACTTTGTTTCATGGAATTAAAAAATGTTTTGAAAAGAATGATGAATTTGCTAGGTTATGTCATTTGATTGGATGTATTTAGAAATAAATATTGGTTAATTCTAAAATTTCTTGGAACAAAAATGCGGCTAAAGAACTTTTCTATTGTTTTATTTGCCTTGGAATTCTTCTTCCATATACATGAATAGCATGAGTAGTTGTAGTTATGCCTGGATTTAAAACAATTGGATTCAGATGGGCTAGCCAAATGTTTTGCAGTTCATTAAACCCTGTTAGGTATCTCGTAAATCAGATGCTATTATTAACTTCATATGTCTGTTGAAGCACATGCTGGCTTTTATTCTTGATGTCGATTGAATTATGTTCATCCTTTTTTGCACAACGTGGTTTGATCAACATATGCTCATATTAGCTCTTCTTTTATACCTTCCCATGAAACTTTGTTTTGTTTTACATGATGACTCATCAGCTCTTGATACTTAGCTAAAGATTAATCTTCAGCTTCATATGTTGGAATATGCTAAACCTCTTCAATTGAAGTGAAAATCTTGTGTGATCTTTCAAACATTGGATCTCTCATGCTTGAACTGCTCCTTTAGATTGGACTAATCGCCCTGACTCAGCAAATTTGAGTCTGATTGATTCCTATCCTGTTTTAAATTTACATTGTTATTTTGATGTTGTTTTTTTTTTCAAATAGAGTAATAGGCAGCTTCTCATCTATCCACTGCTCACCATCAAACTGTCAATTATTGTATATATATTTAAGATGCTCCGGTTGATGGGATGAACCAAGAGGTAGATAACTGAGCTGAATTATCTCATGAGCTGGCATGATTTCCGATCAGTAATTTGCTCGTAAATCATCCTTGATAATTGGATTGAGAATTTAGCCCTTTTAGCCTGTGAGCCTGGATATCTTGTGCCAGCTTTAACTCACTCATTAGCTGAATGATTTAGCTTGTTTAATATTTGCAAATAGAGATTTGTTACTTCGACACCCTATCTTCTTCCTTTTCATCCACTTGTTTGGTTGTTCACTATATTTTATCTCCTTTATTGTCTCCACGTTTCCACCACTATCAGGTATTTTTCTTTCCACCCTTTCCCTCTCCTCCTAGACATCCGCTCTCGCTTTCACACCTCCTTTCCTCTATTGCTGGATCAACAGCTAGCTGCCACTGTTGTCCGCTCGTCCCCTCTCTTCCATCAGCTTATTTTCTTTCTCTTCTTTCCCTCCACCTCTCCTTATTTGATGTATCCCTTGCTACTTGGGCAATAATGCAAGTTGATCGTGTCTCCCGTTACTACTTCTACCTCTTCTTGATATTCTCCTCTTCCCTTCCTCCCCGATCATACTCTGCTTCTCTATATTGGATCTATAGTTTGTCCGCCACTGTTTTTGAACTCCTCTTCCATGACTTGTAGCCCCTACTCTGTCATCTTCATCGACCTTCTCTTCCTTCCCCTGTGTCATGTCCTGATTCTTTGTTGGGCCTCTTGTCCCCTGCTTCTTGGGCCCTAGTGCAAGTTTGTCCTAACCCAGCCCCTCTCCGAACCGCCTCTAACCTCACACTTAGCAGCATTGCTAGATCATACATTTCTTTTTCTCTATATTGGATTAATAGCTTGCCCACTATTGTTTTTCAGCTCCTCTTCTCTATCATCTTCATTTACCTTCTCTTCCTTTATTGCCCTTTGTCATGTCCTGATTCTTTCTGGGACCCCTTGCTACTTGGGCTGTAGTGTCGTTACCCAAACCCTTTCCAACCCTCCCCTAAACCCACACTCAACGGCATTGCTATTTGATCTCAATTCATTGGTAAATGGAAAAGGTGAATTGCGTGATGGAATATGGATTAGTGGCATAATTGTTGCTCTTCTATTTTAAAAATTTCTTAAGACATATTGATACGAATGGAAGCACTGTATTTGGTAATATTCATGCATTGTTAAAATCTGATTTGCAAATGCTTTTATGCCTTGTACTTAAACTTGTTTACCGTTTCATTTGTTCAGGCTTAACTTGAACACGCTTGTTGAAAAGGCTTTCTTCAATGACTTGTTTTAACAATTTGCCATTATGAATTCAATTTAACACATATTACTCGTTTCACTTTTCATCTAACTTTTAAACAGTGTATCTAAACAGAAACATTTTTTTTTGTGCGGTATGTAGTCTACAGTAATTTCTTCTTAGCCTTTTTGTCTGCTATCCTGCCCAAAGTTGCTGTATTTATAAGCTTTGTTTATCGACCCTCTTGCTGTCCTTGTACAATTCTGCTACCTTGGATGCTATGGAGAACTATTATTCTACAGGGAAATACTCTGCTCCTTAACCGCAACACCCTAGGTTACGGAAATGTGGGATTAATTTGTTGCTTGACAGTTGCCTGTTTTTTTGGCCAAAGAGCTTTTATGGTTGTACTAATTTGAGTGAGAAGCAAACTAGTAGGTACTTTTAAAGGATATGTAAAAGGTTTTGCATACCCCATTTTCCCCTTTCTGACATGACCGGTTCTTTCATTTGTTTAGCATTAGCTTTAAGATTCTCAACTTATCAAACTTCAAATTCCTGAACAGCAATAAAACGTTCTTTCAGCAGCATTATTAATTGTTCTAAATCAGCCTAGATAAATTTTCAGTATTAGGATGCGGAACATATGTTCACTTTGACTATATATGCAAATCCAGATCCTCCTCAGCACCATTTCATTAAACTAAGGTTTTATTTTGTTGCACATGAAAAGTGGAATATGAGATTATGGGCATTTGTTACTACTGCTATTATTTGGTTATGAATATGTAGCAAGTGATACTATTTTACATTGGGTCTTCGATTCTGAAGCGACACTATGGAGTGTTTAAATGTGTTACTTTGAAGCCTAAACTTTCCATGAAATCTTATTGTGCTCACACGCGGGCACTCATAATATTCATTTATATACACAATTTAGTTGCTATATGATATTTTTTTTAAATTCAAAGTAATGTTCATAATATTAAATATGACGTATTTCACTGTAGAATGTGATATACTTAATAGTCTATCACCCATGATTTTGAACTCGTACGATGTGATTTGAAGCGCCTCACAATGACCATGCAAAAAGTGCGTTGAAGTGAAGCGAGTCAGATTGAGGGTCACAAAACACCAGAGTGGGTTCAGTTTCGGCATCGTTTGGTAGTGGGTCCGGTTAATTTTTGCGGGATGAAATGAAGGATTGAATTCTTTCTATTCAACCTAGGATTTGATACAAAGACTTCAAGCTCAAGGGAACAAGTAGACACCATAATGGCATTCGACAGGGACTTCAGCATGCGAAGAAGACTATGAAACTGTCTGGGTGTTAGACCTGTAATTTGGCAACTGAAGGACTCAACAAATTTGCATTTTTTTCCCTTGACCAAATTGGTAGGCATCACTGCCAAGCTTTTGCTTGAATTCAGATGCAGTCATGTTATCACACGCTTTTGAGTCTGGATTTCGATGCTTGCTTTCTTCTATTATTATTTTATTCTCTAGCTATTATAATTTTGTTTTATAGCAAGTTTCTATTATTGTTTTGTTCTATAGGATTGAATCTTATTTATTGTTTGCATTGACTGGAATAAAAAATTTCTATTTTACTAAAATAAAAACTTATTTTTTTAGCTTGATTATGGTGATTTTTAGAAATGGCCACTTTTGTTTCTTATAATTATAAACGTATCTTAATGCATGTCTTAAAAAATTATATTTTGTAATGAATTTAAAATTTTTATTTAAATTTGTGTCGTTGGATGTGAATTTTTTGAATGTGGTATAAAATATAGATCACTTGCAGTGGAGGCTTTCTAATTGTATTAATGTGAAGTTTGGATCTTTCTTCATGACTTAATTCTCCAAGCACTTTGTAAGTATTTGCGACTACTTTTAGGGTGCGTTTCTATTTATATTGACATGAGGCTTGGATATTCAAATTTCTGGCATCTTAGTTCTTTTAATCTAAATGTTTGTCATTGATTTTGTGTGTGTGATTGTGATTTGGCTAAGCTAATTACATTTTAAATTTTTTGTTATGGTGAGAATCCCAAGTTGCTAGAAAGATTTTATTCATTTCCACATTTTTAC